TTTTTTCCTCTTTCTCCTTCTAGTATTTTCCTCTCTCTTGTTCTCTATAAGGAAGGAAACAGACAGAGATATAAAATGACAGATAAGTGGATAGATGCATGGATAGGGGGAAGCATCGGAGATAAACAAAGGGGTGTGAAGGAGTTTACACTAGAGAGAAGGCGGCGGAAAGGGGGGGGGGGGGATAGAGAGATGCGGTAGCACAAGAGAAAAATAGATCCATCGATTCCTAGATATATGGATAAACATATAGAGAGGGAGAGAGACAAAGAGAGAAAAAAAGAAAAGAAAAACACATACAGAGAAATAGATTGAGAGAGAGAGAGAGGGGTTCGAAAATCGATTTCGTTCACAGACGGAAAAAATAGAAATCGATAAAAAAAAAGTTTGAGACAGGGAGGGGAAAAAATAGATACGGAGAGGGAAAAAGCGAGAGTGGTGTGGTAACACATTCGCCTAAAGAGATGCAGAAGGAAAACGAAGAGGAGGAGAAAAATAGGTAGAACCATTGATTGATAGATATATGGATAGATAAATAGAGAGAGGGAGCGAGAGAGAGATATAGGGACAAAAAAAGAGAGAAACACGAACAGAAAAATATATTTAAATATATATATTTATAAAAAGAGAGAAAGAGAGGTGGAAATTATTTTCACCGACAGAGGTTAAAAATAGAAGGGACAAAAAAGTGCATGGGTCCTGGGGACCATCTCACGCAAGTGTGTACATGTCATGCATCATACTCGCACACAATGATCAGTAGTCTCACACAATAGACAAAGGTAGATGAGAAGAGAACCGAGTTTCCAAGCTTATATTATCAAAAGTATGATTACAAAGTGTTTCAAAGTTCCCCTGAGTCCAGCGCTCATCAGCGCAACACAAATCTCATGTCAACTCATCAATATGACTTCCAATGTATCAGTGCTACATCTGCAGATCGTCACCAAGTCCTCAATGTGGTCACTACTCATCAGCGCCACCTCTGCAGTCCATATTCAACTCAGGTAAGTATCTTCCATAGCCCAACCTTGAATGAACACTTTCGGCCTCAGTCCCTTCTCTCATGAGGATCTACTCTGGATACTACTCATAGCTAAATACTAACCCTTCTACTACTAGTACTAACTCGCTGGGCAGCTATGGCTGCATCACTTCCAGCGTACAGGCATCTTCCTTCATTCAGCGCATCTTCTACCTCCAGTGCTGCTCCTCCTGACTCAGCGCACAAGTGCACCAGCACTTCAACGCATTGCAGCCAGTGGAGGTCTGGCGAGGAATGAGGCAGGCAGCTCCCTTTATAGTGCTGGCCACTCCTCGCTGGGTCTGCATTGGCTCAATTCGGCCTTTCCTTTGTCCCAGACCCTGCATTGCATGTGTCCCAGAATAGTCCCAATGAAATTCAACTGTTGCTGAGGCCTCTCGGCCTAGATTTGGACTTCAAAGTCCGGATCTGGACTGTCCCCCTGACTTAGACCAGAACTGGGACTGTGCCTATTGACTTTACTTTCGGACAGGCACAACCCTAGACGAACAGATACAGTTACTGCCTGAACAAACATTTTCCTTTGCACGAACAGGTACACTGCCTGCACGTACAGACACA